TTCTTATGTGAAGGAAATGAACAAATTATGTTAATCTAAACATGAATTGGTAGCTGTTAATAAATATCAAGATTACAGTGGTCTGTTGGAATATTTTTTATACCATTATTTTAGGCCATGCATAACATACAATATTATAATATAATAATTCTAACGATATACATTACAATAAGAGATTAATCTGACGTTTGGAGACAAATTTTTTGCTTCATTTTATATGACTTTTTGAAGTTCAAAAAACCATTTATTCAGATTTTTCTTGTTATGCTACTAGAAAAGAATTTTTTCTTATTATACTATTATTTACGCCAAAACTTTAATTTATTCTACATGTTCATTATGAGGAAGTTTAAAACATAATTAATATTTTAATATGTTAATTGCATTTCTTAATTTTTATATTTCATTCCTAGTGATTTTAAAATGATTTCTTTCTCATTGAGGTGCCCATGTGTTACACAAGCAACAATTTAAAAGGATAATTCATCGACATTTGGCTCCACTTCTATCATTTCACTTGACCTCGTTGGTTGGATGACAGAGCTTCTTACACTTATAGACCTCATTTACTTTTAAGATTCTCTAATGTGAAATGTAGCAATAATGTTATAAGCACAAATTTAAAAAAATAATTCATCCCAAAAAATTAACCTTTAAAGTGGGTGAACTTTTTAAATTCATAAACTTTATTTTACTTGCAAGATTTAAAACTTTTTGTGGGAAACTCTTTTCATAACATCAACCTCACAATAAAAATATCAATGTAATAACTATAGATCCAAAAAAAAACTCATTTCAAAAGCTTCCAAAACACACATATATATAAACTCCATTCACTTGTAACACTCTCGTAACAATAACAACTTGCTATTATGTGATAGCTACTAATCTATTCCATATAACAACATATACCATTGTCTCATGCTACCAGGAGTTAATTCTCATAACAGATAAATCTTGGTGCTATTTAACCACCTGCTTGATACAAATTTAATTTCCCTCACATTTGCCCCGTAGGCTTGATGCGAAAGTAAGTCATGAGTCATGTCATGACGTGGGTGCACATGGATTATACATGTATGGATATAAAATAAACCCCTAGCTGCAACACTCCGCGCACATATGCTTGTTGGTAAACCAAGCCCAGAAGGTGATATTAGGATGCACCAAGCCCAAGAGCTACTAACAACAACTGTTACTTCATTCCAAATTACAGCCCAAAACCAATACAGAGCCTTCTAGCCCAAATCTTTACCTAAGTAAAATAAACTATTATATGGAGATGAATATTAAACAAATGGATTAAGGTCCTGTATCTAATATATATAAACTATTTAGATGAATCCGACAGAGTGACTTGAATTATTTTGGTATAATTTAGAGAGAGAAGCAGGAAGCAGAATTAGCAAGTTCTAAAGTGATAGAGAAAACCAAAGCAACAATTTTTTTTTTTTTTACTCACATCACCTTCTGACAAAAGTTCAAATTTAAACATTCTTAAAATACACAGGCAAACTGAGTTCCACTCCATATGTGGCTTCAAAATTCTTAAACATCTGCGAAGAAGTTGCAAATGCTATAAACTAGCACTCGGCTTGTAGAAGGCAAGGTTGAATGGCAAAATCAAACTCAACCAATTCTGGCCACCAAGCATTGTTGCCCTCCTTGTTGACCATGGTGATCCTTCTTTGATCCCCTCCCCCCCCCCCCCCCAAAAAAAAAACTTGGATTTAAATTTTTTAAAATTGAGATTCATGAATTTAGGTGAATTTTTTAATATTTTTATTCATTTTATATTTTTTTATAACATATAATTCTCTCTCTCTCTCTCTCGAACAAAAGTTAACGAAATTAAAGAATTATTAACATGAAAAGACTTAAATCCCAAAAAAGCTCATCATCATCCATGTTTAACCCCGGTAGGCCGGCACGCTTTATAACATGCACTAATAATATCCAAGAAAAACAAAAACCAAATGACCTTATTAGCAAAAAGGGGAAAGAAAGAGAGGGGATGTACAAATACTACAACCCTAGTGGTATAGAGAAGAGAACAATTGGAACCATCTTCACTGCTCCTCAAGGTGATACAATCTGGATCATTTAAATTTTTAATTTAAATGGTCTAAATTTAAAAAAATAATTTAATATTTTATTTCATATTTTTAAAAATAAAAATTATAAAAATTATAAAAAATTTTAATAAATATTTTTTTACTAATCTAAGTCTATATTTATTTATAGTATCTAATTTAATATTAAAGTTTTAATATTTTTATATATTGACTATCCAAATGTATTATGTACAGTTTAGATTTAATTTTTAACTTGTAATTTTTTAAAAAATATTTTTTAAATTAGAATTAAAAAATATTAGATATTTTATTTTTTAATATTGTATTCAGCAAAATAAAAAATAAAAAATAAAAAATTAAATTTGGACTTTGCAGATAAACATTTGATATCAAATATAAACGTCTAGAATACATGTAGATAGTCAATTTAAAAAATTATAATAATATTAAATTAGATCATTTAAATTAAATTAATACTATTCAGATCAATGGTTAACCTATTTATAAAAAATTATAATTTTTTATTTTAATAAATATAAATATAAATATAAATATAAATTAAAAACATTGGGCCATTCATATTTAATTTGAATGGCCCAATTTATTTGTATGAATGAGCACCAAAGACGAATTCAAAACAATTACACCTGAATCAACACCAAACATCAACCAATACCAAGAGTCCAACTATTCCGTAGAAGTAAGAAATAGGCGGACTTAACTTATAAAGTCCTTACTCTCAAAGGCTCAACCTTTGAGGTCTTTTTTTTATAAAAATGATCAATTTTTAAAATTTAACCTTCATTTGAAGCATTTAGGTTGGGTTCATAAGTTCATTTTATTTTTTTAAAAATTAAAAAATTAATAAAATACTAAATACAAATAAAGATATAGAATTTTAATCAACTTTAAAATAAAAATAAAAATTTTCAATTCAAATCAACCTTATCAAATTCGATAAATACAAAAAACTTATGTATCATAAAATATAACATTAATCAAAATTGAGAAATAGACCTTACAAAGTAATCGTGTTTAAGAAATAATAAAAAATCTGTAAATATGTGTTAAAAAAAATGAAAAAAATGGTAAATGAACCAACATCAATTATTTTGACAATACAATACTGAAAAAAATGATTAATCTTTTGGGGAATAGGGTGTGGAGGGTTAGCCCAAACTCTTTTTTCCAAGGCTTAGATTGGGTTTAGAAGCTTGATTTTTCAAAAAAAAAAACAAATCTTTATTTAAATAAGGTCTTCAAGTTAGGCCCTCCAGGCCTAGCGTTATTCTTGACTCTAATTTGCCTTCAATCATAGGCCTTCTTTGAATTATTATTTAGTTGTTATTAATACATATTTCCTCTCTATTTAAAAGTATAAAATATTTTTTAAGAGATTGAATATTAAAAAATATAAAATATTTTTATCTTTTAAAGTGTAATCATTTTTTTTCTTTTAAAATTGCTCCAACTGAATAAATTATTTTATATTTTTTTAGAATAAAATATTTTATTAAATAAGATTATTTGTGAAAGATAAAGTGAGTTTAAAAATAAATAATTATTATTAAGATAAAATTTAATTAAAATGCTTGATATTTGTAAATAGAGCAAATAAAATTAAAAAAAATTAAGGTACATATGTGCTGTTTAAGAATTTGTTGTATTTTAACTTTAATTATTAATCTATTTTGTGATAGATGAAAAATATTTTATACAATAAGTTAATAAATATAAAGAAAAAATTATTATTTTTTTATATACAAGTCCCATATTTTTTAAATAAAAATGTTTATATTTTACGTCGGGGTGAAATGGCAGTGGTTGAATATCTTGACGATTGAATGGCGGAATACGATTTGGAGTAAAATGGTAAAGGGGGAGATACGGAGGTCACATCACAATTCAGATCATGTGGCATCAAATCAAAGGTCGTGTCAAGTGAAGAAGAGAGAGAGAGAGAGAAGGAGAGAAGCAAAAGGCACTGCACACAAACACAGTAGAGAAGTAGGAAGCAAGTCTTGTCACAGGATACGAACGACCTTCAGAATACTTTCATGTACATGTGTGCGTCTCAGATCCCATAATCATCGCCTACTCCTCTTTTTCTGATACGCCACCCTCCCTTTTATTTATTATTTTTTTTAAAAATGAGCGTCTCTTGCAGTATTGCCATGTCTTCAAACCCAAACGCATGCAATCAACCTCATCATGCTGTCTTTCCCCTCCTTTTCCCAAACTACCCTTCCTCCCTCCTATTATTCTCCTTTTCATTTTTTCTCTACATATTAAATTTATGATTCCATCCCTCCATCATCATTGACTACAACTATTCATCTCCCTTCTACTTGCTTAACATTGATTTGACCATTTTGAAATCTTGCTGCTCCAAATATATACTTCCACTGTCTCTTTCCGTCCAGTGTTCCTCTTATGTTTATTTCTCACAAAATATTACCACTCTCCATATCAACTAACCTAACTTTAAGAAATCATTATTAGACACTCCCGAGTTTTGAATATTACAATTTTGAATCAAATGTATTCATATGTTTATGTTAACGTTTATATTTTTTTGTGCTTTTCAATAAATTTAACTATTGAAGATAGGTATAATTTTTAAAAGGTTTCAATTTAAACTAATATAATATTATTATACATTTTTAAAGTTATTAATTTGTATGGATAAAATATTTACTGATTAAGTATTTCTAAATAATAAAATGTGATAAACATTACACGAGTATATACTTTTAAATTGCAACATTGAATTGAATTTCATGCAGTGTCGGAAGAGTGATGAAGGCAGGGCGGGAAAAGGGTATAATGGTCCGTAAGATTTTTTGGTCCGTTTGGTTCCCAACAGTGGAGCTAAACAAAGACCTGTGAGCCGAAAGTGACGAACCAATGAAACCAACACAGCAAATCCCAGAACACTAAAACAACACATGGAAGAAAAACCATAAAGCGAAACCCACCTCCCTCCTACTCTCTTCACTTTCTCTTCCATCTAGGGTTCCCTCTTTATCTTTCCTAGTTTAATTTATTAGTTTATAGTTTAACTCAATGGTTGGTTGGTGAAAAAAGCATGTCCACATGCCCGAGAGAGATCCCTCGTTAGCTTCAACAGAATCTCCCTTTGATCGTTCCTCTATTTTCTTTTGTACTTCTGTCAATGGCGCTTGCTCTGTGAAAGCTGGGAAAAGAAAAATATGATTCAGAAATCAGGCGGGAATCCAATAGATTATTAGCTGGACTGGGAATCTTGATGACCATGAAGATCGGCGGAGCTGTGTTGTTTTGGCTGGTTTTCACTTCGTGAGCAAGAAACTACCTTCTTGTTTTTCGGGGTCTCGGTTTTGAGATATGACGTTTTGGATTGGCTGAATCGAATCTAGTGCTATATTTATGTATTTGGTAATTATGGGAAATATTTTCGTGTTGGGATGTTTTTGGGTATCAGATCGTTGGTCTCCTGATCTCTGATCTCGAGAGGTTTATGTTTCCTCGTGTTCGCAGCTGTTTCTTAGTGGGGAAACAAGGATAACTGCGTACCAGTTCAGGCAGCCTCTCTCTCCACAAACTTTTGTGAATGCATACTTGGTCATAGAGGTCTTCTGTGGCAGGTTAAGCTGTAGCTGAACTACCGAAAGTACTCGAAGTATTGGTGGAACTGCTTGAGCTTGTTCTCGCATTCGTTGGGGAGTTTGAATTTGTTGGTAACTGGTTATGGCAATGTCCTGCAAGGATGGTAAAATAGGACTGGACAACGGTAAGTATGTCCGTTATACACCTGAGCAGGTTGAAGCCCTGAGAGGCTTTATCACGAATGCCCCAAACCTACTTCCATTCGTCGCCAGCAGCTTATCCGCGAGTGCCCAATTCTCTCAAACATTGAGCCGAAGCAAATTAAAGTTTGGTTCCAGAACAGAAGGTATTCTTTATAATATCATGTTCTATTTTGTTTATGTTCGAGTGAGAGTAATATAGTAGAGCTTTTTCTTTTTTATACCACAATATTCCTGTATCTGGTCAATGCCATTTTTCTTAGCTTATATGAATACATTTTGTGATCTGGAGCTGGTGCGGTTTGCTTGCTCTCTGTTTCGACTACAGTGTCTAGTCAACTCATTTAATTATAAAATTTAATGGTCATTCCTTTTTTTTTTGTTTTTTAAATGACGTTACCTTGACTTTTGTGGTTGTTCTTGGCATGATGCCGATTGCATTATTTTTGATATTTCAGATGTAGGGAGAAGCAGAGAAAAAGGCTTTACGCCTTCAAGCAGTTAATAGGAAGCTGACGGCCTTGAACAAGCTCTTGATGGAGGAGAATGATAGGTTACAGAAGCAGGTGTCTCAATTGGTGTACGAAAATGGCTATTTTCGTCAAAACCCACAAAATGTAAGAATTTTGCCTGATGGGCTATTAGTTTGTTAGAGTGATACAATTTTGTAATTAGGATTTGTTAATTAATATTATTTATATTAGTAAACCACTATAAAAAGCTTTGCATCCGCCGGAGAGCTTTTATTTGGTAATTTATCAGTCATGGGCTCAACTGTTCTATTATACCTTTCTATGGTGCTGATGGTTTAAATAATTGAATTAAAAAGGCTCTTTGTTTTCAGACAACACTTGCAACTAAGGACACAAGCTGTGAATCTGCGGTGACGAGTGGTCAACAGAGTTTGACAGCACAGCATCCCCCTAGGGATGCGAGTCCTGCAGGGTTAGTTGAATAAGATAATGTCCCCATCTGTATTTGTGGTCCTTCATCACCTAATTGTGTGTCTGTGACTTGCGAAATCATCCTTTATTTTTTCTTCAGACTTTTGTCCATAGCAGAAGAAACTTTAGCAGAGTTTCTTTCAAAGGCTACTGGATGCTGTTGAGTGGGTCCAGATGCCTGGAATGAAGGTAATTCTTACCTCTTTTCATTAAGTGACAAAGTAGTTATTCTATTGTTCTATTATTCAATTCTTTAGGAATGAGCCATGCACAGATTGGTTAAAGAGCATGAGCATTATCATTAATAGAATAACTCGGATTTGCTTTGAGTCAGCTTAATTCACGGTTTAAGCTTCATTGCGTTCTTAAGTAGCATGAAAGGTCCCCCCTTATTGGTTGAAATTATGAAATTTATGTTTCTTCTGGATACTTGCTGATTTGGACAGCCTGGTCCGGATTCCATTGGAATCGTTGCTATTTCTCATGGTTGCATTGGTGTGGCAGCGCGAGCCTGTGGTCTAGTGGGCCTTGAGCCCACAAGGGTAAGTGCTTCAGATATGATATTTTTTTGCTGGTTGTCTTGCTTGAGCTAATAAATTTAAGAGATAATTACTTTAAGGTGCCATTTAATATAATTAATTACTCCCAAGTCCATTGACAACTGAGTGGGACTTTTATGTAATTTTCCCTAAATTTAATGGTGACTACAATCTAAACAGGTTGTGGAAATACTCAAAGACCGGCCTTCATGGTTTCGTGATTGCCGAGCTGTTGATGTTCTCAATGTGCTGCCCACAGCTAATGGTGGAACCATAGAGCTGCTTTATATGCAGGTAGTATTCAAATTAATTTTTATGAATTATGTCTATTGTGACCACTTATTGAATGCTTGGTTTTCTGGTGACTTAGCTCTATGCGCCAACAACACTGGCGCCTGCTCGTGACTTTTGGTTGTTGCGCTACACATCTGTTTTAGAAGATGGCAGCCTTGTGGTTAGTGTCTCTAGATAACTTATTTTTTAAAAACAATTAAAGATTTCGTTGCTTAGATTCGACTTTGACTTAACTGTACTTGATAACTGGCCTTTCTTGTTTGCCACTGCCTTTACCTTATAAATTTTCATTTGACTCCTGCACAAATGTTTTTCTAAGATCATTTCTCTGTTGTCGGCCTTGCTTCAGGTCTGTGAGAGGTCTCTTAAAAATACTCAAAATGGTCCAAGCATGCCACCTGTGCAGCATTTTGTGAGAGCAGAGATGCTTCTAGTGGGTACTTGATAAGACCTTGTGAAGGTGGTGGTTCTATCATACACATTGTTGACCACATGGATTTGGAGGTACATTAATCTTAGTAATTTTTCACTTTTGTTATCCATTATTGTTTAACAAGAAGGATTTCAGAATGTTTGTGTCAATGTTAGCCATGGAGTGTGCCTGAAGTACTGCGTCCATTGTATGAATCATCAACAGTGATGGCTCAGAAGACAACCATGACGGTATGGTTATCGTATCTCTTTAATAATGGCAGAATTTCACATGCTTATGCTGCTTAGTTCTTCAGTTCAAATTGCTAGAGATGAGAAAATATTTACCATCAGAGTAATAGTTGTATTGCCTATAAGGATGGGCAAGGTTCTAACGTCAAATCCTTTTCCTTTTCATTCAGGCCCTACGCCAGCTTAGACAGATATCTCAAGAGGTCTCTCAGTCTAATGTCAATGGGTGGGGCAGACGCCCTGCAGCTTTAAGAGCACTCAGCCAGCGATTGAGCAGGTTATTATATTCTTCTTGTTAGTCAAGATTATTGTGCATTTATTTATATATAATTGGGATCTCAAGCATATTTAACTGTAGGGGTTTCAATGAGGCTCTAAATGGGTTTACTGATGAAGGATGGTCAATGATTGGCAATGATGGTGTAGATGATGTTATGGTTCTGGTGAATACATCTCCTGACAAATTAATGGGTTTAAATCTCTCCTTTGCAAATGGATTTCCATCTGTCAGCAATGCAGTCTTATGTGCCAAAGCATCAATGCTGTTGCAGGTCAGGATGCTTTAAATTTTCCTCCAAGCTAGAGAAAAAAAATATGGATAGACAAGATATCTCTTTTTCTTCTTGTAATTAATTTTCGGACATGGACGTATCTACTCTATTTATGCGAACCCGTGCCTATAAATATTTTTGTGATTGCATGAGCTGTTGAGCACACATTAACTCTTTGAACCAGCCTTATTTAGCATCTAGTCCTGTGTTCACCTAACTTTGCTCTTATATTTGTCTATTGCGTGTGCTGTTTCTTTGTTCAGATGTGCCTCCTGCCATTCTCCTCAGGTTTTTGAGGGAGCATAGATCTGAATGGGCAGACAACAACATGGATGCTTACTCAGCTGCTGCCATTAAAGTTGGTCCTTGTAGCTTACCAGGATCTCGTGTTGGAAACTATGGAGGTCAAGTATACTTCCCCTTGCCCACACTATTGAGCATGAAGAGGTGATATATTGGTGCCTGTTTTGCAAGACAACCATTGCGAGTTTTACAATTTGATAATGCTGGATGCACTAACTTGGTTATTGTTCTTGCTAGCTTCTGGAAGTCATTAAACTGGATGGAATAGCTCATGCTTCTGAGGACACGATAATGGCAAGAGAGCTGTTTCTTTTGCAAGTAAGCTTGTTCCCTTATGCGTCATGCTTTCATTCTTCAAAGAATCTGTGCCAATGGTAGTGGAATCTATGCGGATAAACAAGCCTATTAGTTTACCTCATGTACTGTATACTTAATTACTGGAATTGTGTAGTTAGACTTTGAGTTCATCTTGCCATTTACGTGGATTGAATTATTTTCAAGTCATTCTGCAATAGGCTGCAACCAAAACATAATATGCTATATACTGATAACTGAGCTCAATATACGGATTGCAAAGTCAGAGAAACTTGGATTATAGATCTGAATTCCAAGTATTGCGATGACTTGTGTGTTTGTCTTGACTTGCATTTAACTTTGTGTCTATACTCAGTCCTGAACTACGTCTACAGTAAATCCTGAACTTAATTTTGATCTCGTGTTAACTTTGGTGAGTCACACTGTTCATGACTTATGAATGGTACAGCTTCTTATAGATTTTATATTGATATATTGATGAGCTGTTGTTTTGTTTTTTTTGTTTTTTTAAATCTTGACGAGTATAACTAGTGTAGTTTTGGATACCAAATATGACTATAGATCTTCGTCTAACTGTAGTCTCAACCTCTATAATACACTATTGTTTTGTTATCGTTGACATTTCCTTCTAGTAGGAGGTGAAACTGTGACCATATCATCAATACTCGTGTTTTCACCATGTTAATTGTATAATTCTCTATTTCTTCTTTCCTTGAAGAAACAAATCTATACTAAATATCTCAACAATTTTGATCAAGCAGATGACTTGCTAGTTGCTAGTATGGTTCTGTTAGTTATTGAACTTGTATTAGAACGAGATAGCTTTCATTTTATCACCATCATTAAGTTTTCATTGATGATGTTCCTCTGCGGCTAACTTGAATTTTTTTTGCTACTACTTTGGCAGCTCTGTGGTGGGATGGATGAGAATTCTTTTGGCACTGTGCTGAGCTTATATTTGCTCCAATTGATGCATCGTTTGCTGATGATGCCCCACTTTTACCTTCAGGATTTCGCATTATTCCTCTTGATCCTGGGAAGGTTTGCTTCAATCGCTGTAGAAAGAATACATTTCTCTTCTTTACCTTACCCTTTGATTCTTTTAATCATTTCAATGTCAATGAATTATTTTTGCAGGAAGCCTCTAGCCCAAATCGAACCCTTGACCTTGCATCTTCGCTTGATAT